CGTAGTCTCGCAGACAAATATTCATTCACAAGTATGCGTGGGGTTAAACGAAAACAGTGCAACATATGAACAGCTGTCAGTAAGTTACACTCGCTGGCACACGACTGATGACGAGCGATGGCGTAGGTCAAGAAAAAACGCACTGAACATGGCAAGAAAAAAGAAAAACGTTACGGAGCACGACGAGACGTAAGTCACCTGGCGGGCTCAGTCGCGTCGGCAGCGCCGCGCTTCGAACACAAACAAGCTTGGTCTCTTACCGGGTTAAAGAATGAAATACCGAGACGTTGCAAGTACGGAATCGCAATGTCCTGACGCCATGTCGATGCACCGCATGATCCGCCCAGAAACACTGAAACGAACAGCGTTAAACGTACGCGCACAGCAACGTTGCAAAACTACAACCGTCGTAATCGAAAGACATGTAAAACGTCCGTTTCTCTACTGCAAGAGGACAGCCACACGCATGCTACTGCTGAAAGGAAAAAACCAAAACGAACAACCTCATGAACGCGACGCGACACGACGCCACGCGTCGATCGGTAACAAATCAAAAGTAGTCATGTGCGTAGACACATGGGAAACGACGAATGAATGAATGAAACGAACACGACGAACGTGCACCAGCAGATCTAAGTTTATTGAGCACGAGTTCACAAAAGTGAATCGCCCGCAACAAATATACCGAACAGCTGCTGTATACTGTATACAAACAAAAACTGTAATAAAAACACGTCAGAACATAGCGATGCTGAAACATTTCGTACGCGAAACGATGTCGTAGCGCAAAAGTCACGAAATGTTTGTTGGTCCTCTCAATACTAGTACACAATCATATAAATTTAAAACATGCTCCGGTGAATAAAGTTTTCTGAAGCAGCAACAAAACTCAACATTAAACCTAACAATTTTTCGAAATATCACATTCACACTTGTATAGACGAAACGGAACCCGACGGACGGAGATTAATGATCGTGGCCATTAAAAAATATCATCTCATTACCAGAACCGTTCAAATAAGTCTTTCGCCGTTCTTCAGATTGTTCATCGGAATACCGGTAGTTCCGGTGCACTTCAGTTCTTCCTTGGAAGGGTTATACTTGCCTTTCAGCATCTGGCTACGACGTACGTACCGCAACATGATCAACGTTACAACAACCATGCCGATGGCGGTGATCAGTCCCAGAACTATACCAACAATAGTCTTTGTAGGCAGGCCTGCCGCTGAACCACCTTTGGTGAATTCACAATGTACACCTAAAATTATGAATTAACAAATAGTATACATTACAATATTTATTAATGCTATGCAAAAACACGCTGTTTTCACTACACACATACAAACCGTATGACATCAACAAAACATTAAATTAGTATGCAACTCCTGCTAACAGTAACATTGCTTCTAGCAGGAGCAACTACCAGCATATATCAGCGCTAGCTGATCAACTTTCATCAAGTACGGCAAATTCTAAACTAGAAGATTATTAGTGTGAGAGACACAGGGGTCATGTTCGGCACCGCTGATTCGGCGAAAGAGGAAAAGTAACTAAAAACAAATTCCATCATGGGCTTAGCTATGATAACTAATTTCCATCCTCCAATTTTAGCAACCAGTATAAAATACTGTCGAATGCAAACCTAACGTTCCGCCAACTCTCCAGAACTTCTGAATAGAAGCGCACGTGAGAACGAACGTCACATGGCACTTCGCAAACCGCAAGCCAGGCAGTTCCACGCTGAGGGCAACATTCATGCAAGATCACAGCTAAGCTTGCCGATCAACAAAGCACGTTAATCCAAAATCAAGTAATCATCTTCTCAGTCCAGGTGAATTTCCTTTTATTTAACTCATTTGACGGTTGCAAGCCTCGAAAAGGGCCTTGGATTGGCATCAAGACCAGGTGATTCGCGCTAGCCTGATTGCAGCCTGTTCGTCATCAGGACAGCACCGGCTGAGCTTCATAAACTAAGAAGATGGGAGGCGAGGTGGCTGCTACATTACACCGTTATAGTTATTGTCATGATTTCCATGTGTCCAGCTGCAAGGCTGGTACGGCGATTCGCATGTTTGAATAGCTTCAATAGTTAAAGCCTAATATTTTTCGACTTAATAACAAAGAGGTAAAAACATGTGCGCAACTCAACGCCGAGATCATTAGGAAGCGGTTCGAATCAATGCTACTAAACTGCCACAAGCTGTTTACCTCCAGAAAAGTACACAACACTTGGTCATACGATGCAGTGAATAATTGGAATATCTGAAAAAGTTGAAAAACCGTTGACTCAGAAACTGTTAAAGGCCGACGAAAAATCAACGAAGTCGTACTGCTCTTATTACTGCACTTGTCGACCGTTCCACAGTTGCGCGTCGCACAAAACAAGCACGACCAGCAGTCAGACCATGTTCTCGTATCGAACCAGACGGTAAGGGCACGATAGAAAGCTCAAGCTGAACAGAAACT